ACTTGTATAATCAGTATATCTACCGGTTCCGCCTTTAACTTCAGAGCAATAATTCTGTCATTACAAGCAATCTTCTTAACAACACTCCTCACTACACTTTTATGCACCACTATTGCCACACCTCTTTCAGCCCGTTCACCTCCGGAATAATACACTGTATAATCACCGCTTCTTATTTCACCTTGTCCTTTCCACCGCACTTCGCTGACACCTAGAACAGACACTTCATTCTTCTGCATTTCCGTTTTCAAATTCTCCAATTTTCCTGCTTGATTCAAGGTCCTGACATTCCATGTTCCAAACAGAAGTAGCATGTTACAAAATTTTAGACTAGCCCTCAGATGTGATTGGCTATTGTGAACATCGTAATAAACCTCTTGATTCCATAAACTCTTGGGAATTTCTTGGCTAGGTGAGAAGTTGTTGGCTTTGTAAGAAGGACTGTGTTCCATGAGTTATGTGCCACTGAACGGAATGATTCTGTATATCTGCAAATTCATTCCAGAGACTATGGATGCAAGAGTCTAATAGAAAATGAACATCTGTAATATACTTCATTAGTGTTATCATTTTCTTATGTGGAATACATACATCAAGCAAGACAGTTTGAATGTATCGGATGGTGGTGGCCAGTGATACAGAAAATTTTATGACATACTGGATTTTAAGATTGCAGTCTTCTGGATTATGGATGCGTGTAGTTTCTTAGGTGGTTACCAGCATTCAACTTCTGACCTGAAGATAGAGGATCAGGTCCCCACAAATTTTTGGTAACCATATTTGAAACTACATGACTACACAGTGTCATAGCCAAGAGGATTACAGTCTAAATTTTCACCACTGTAAAACCCTCAGATTTCATACTGTGTAACTTTTGATTCACCATCATTTTCAGTACTCAGAAACGACCTACTGATAGCCTGTTCATTGTATCAACTAATTCTCTAAAGAAGTGAAGGATACAATACTAAGCTTGATCTGGTAGTGGTGGACAGTATATGGTACAGGTAGCCCTGAAGTTATGAAAGTAATTTGCACCACTAAAAATTGTTCATAAGGTGAAAATTCATAAATTGAAAATTAAATTTCTGTTACTATACACATAAAAGTCACCGAACTTATGACTATAAGTCATCAGTTGTAGCAGAAATGAAATTCATTAAGTGAAAGATAAGCACAAATTAACATGCCTTGTTGTAGCAGAAATCTGATAATTGAGTGTCTGTATAATGAGGGTTACTTGTATTTGTACTGTGGACTGAGGTGGGTATATTCTTATAAGATGTATGAATATAAGGAGCACATGATCTTTGAGTTGATTGGAAATATTTCACAGTGTTACTCAAGGCACTGATTGTTTCTCAGAGAAACAAAACTCTTGATATAAAGAAATATGCAGTTCTGTATATTATTGGGAAAATTATTGCTACAAACTCTTCACTTTGTTGAGAATTATAGTAGGAGAATTGCATCAGAGGGTAATGAATTTCAGAGACCTAAAATGACTGTCAGAATACTGTTATAAACATTTAACAGTGTTGTTTCAACTGTAATTAATTATTTCTTTCAGGATTGTTTTCTGAATAATGGAGGTCTGAGACATTTTACAGCCTACAAAGCATTTATATGAGGTTGCCAGACTGGAAGTATGTTTTTCATCCTATAAGTGAAGAGTGCCGTTATTTTACTGTGAAATAATGATTTCACAAGAATAATTTTGGAGAGACTGTATAATTATAAATAAATGATTCAGTGAAATATACTAGAAGATCAGAATTTTTGGGTGTTATGGAGACTAGCATCATTCCTTCAGCTGAGAAGATGAGAGTTGCAGACAATAAAACACAAGCAGAAGATGGACTAGAATTAATTAAGAAAGTTATAAATCTTAATAGTGAACAAAGGAAATTGGTTAACAAACTTCTTGATGCCAGTGTTCAGTGTAAAGATATAATTGATATAGTGTTGTCTTCAACAAACCCCATGTTAGATTTACTGCAGAAAGTAGTAAGGGCCGACACTGAAGAATTGAACGTACTAAGAAAGATAACAGAGCTTAATCGCAATGAGTTGGAGCTATCCAGAAAGTTTATATTCCTTTGTAATAGAGAAAAACATTTTATTTGTAAATTTGTGGATTGGTATCTCAGAGATCAAAGTTTAGATTTGCCTTGTTCGTGTTCACCATTAAAGGAAGTTGATGCTGTTGAAGATAATGCAGGACATCTAAGGACTGTGGTTTCAAGTTACGCATCACAACAATGTGAGAATAGTGAAAAGGTTGTGACATGTGAAACTAACCAGGGTGACTCCAGAGGAGAACTGGACAATTCTTGCAGTGAAAAACAGTTTTTTCTGACAGAGGGCGGTACAGGAAACAGAAATATTGCCAAAAAAGTTCAACTTACTGAAAGGTGTGGAAGTTCAGTGGAATGTAGGACTGAAAAGGAAGCTCAGCTAGTGAAACCTGCCATGACAGAACAGAAACTGATGTGTCATAAGCATCTAATCTCACATAGTAATCAGTTTTCTAGAGATATGTATGGAAAACCTGTATCACATGTTGAACAAAATGATGGAGGTTTTCAGCTGAAAGGTGCAAAACAAGTAGGTGATGAAGGACATGAAGGGAGCTGTAGTTCAGCAGTAAGTACACTATGCAACACCTCAAAGACACAGAATAGAACAACAGTACATATAGAGATGTTGCTAAATAAAAATTCTGTTTCACCAGTGAATGAAAATATGGAGGTAGAACAAGAGCAAACATTGGTAGGTGAAACTCTTGTGTTAACAACAGGAAACATGGATAAAAAAGTACATGAACCAGAAAGACATTTTTGCCTGCCTGACATAAACAAAAAATCATTGCAAAGGAATGAAACAGATATAAATGCCTCTCCTTTGTCAGCTGTAAAAAGTACTGAAATACCATCACAAAATGAAATAGGGGATGATTTTCTTTCCCAGGCAGAGGGTAGAATAGAAAGTCAACATGATGTATCATGCGAGGAACATGACAGAACTGTTTACCATAAGGGAACAGAGGGTGGCAGTTGTGTTTTGGTAGCTGGTGAAAATCTGAATACAGTATTGGGAGGTGAAGTACATAAAGTTTGTTCTGCTCTGTCTGAAAAGGAAAGCATGGAAATAATCTCTGATATGCATGATTCTGATTTGATGACAAAGAGACTTACAAACTCATTGCCAGAGAACAGGTGTTCTGTTCAGTCAGAAATTGAAATTGAGAATACAGATTCAAATTTCAGTGGACAGGAATTCCTCCTTCATGAGTCAAAGGTGGAAAAAAGTAAAAGAACAGTTCTTGATAACAGTAGGAAAAAAGATGTCCCATTTTCTCCTGGAAATGCAAACATGAAAAGTGAAAATTTTATGACAACATCAAGGGATGTAACAAAAAATGGCAATGCTCATCTGTCTGGAAAAGAAATAAAAAAAATATCAGATACGCATGATTCTCTTTCGACAGTAAAGAAAGGCACAAACTCAGCGTCTGTAACAAGTTCTTCTGTTCAGCTGAATATTAATAATAAGTGTACAAAATTAAATGACAGTGGACAGAAAGCTGATCCTCTTTGTAACATTACAGATAAAGATACTGTAATTATACCAGAAGACATGAAAGTGAACAGTGAAAATCTGAAGAAATTGTCAGGGAATAAGACAGAGAATGTCATTGCTCATCTGTCTGGAAAGGAAAGCAAGAAAATTATCACAGACACACATCATTCTTTCTTGACAGTGAGAAGTATTGCAGACTCAGAATTAGAGGAAAGTTGTTTGGGCCAAAAAGAAATTGAAAGTGAGGATGCAGAATCAAGTGACCATGGACAGGAACCTCTTCCTCCTCAGAAAAAATTTAGAAGAGATAAAATAAGAGCCCTTGATGACAGTGTGGTGAAAGAAGTCCTATTTTCTTCTAAAAATGTGAAAGTGAACACTGAAAAGCTGAGCACAGTATCAGGAGACAAAATAGAGGAAGTTGATGCTCATCTGACTGGAATGGAAAATAAAATATCAGATCCACATGATTCTTTTTTGTGCAGAAAGCAATGTGCAAACTCGGTATCAAAGAAAAGTTGCCCTGTTCAGCTGAAAATTGGAAGAAAAAATGCACAATCAAATGGCTTTGGACAAAAACCTGCTTCTCTTCAGTCAAAATTGGAAGGAAGCAAAAGAACATCTCTTGATATCAGTACAGAAAAAGAGACATCAGTTCCTTCAGAAAACATGAAAGTGACAACTAAAGATGTGAGGAAAAAATCAGCTTGTGTGTATGGAAAAGGAGGCAAGAAAATGATCACAGACACACACAGTTATCTTTCGAGGGTAAAAAATATTACAAACTCAGAATCAGAGAAAAGTTGTGTGGGCAAGAAAGAAATTGAAAGTAAGGATGCAAAATCAAGAAACCATGTAGAAGAAAAGATCTCACGTCCTCTTAAAAGTGTTAAAATGGAGAGTCAAAATCGGAAAACAATATCAGGGAGAGAAACAGAGAAAGTTGGTCGCTATGTGTTTAGGAAGAAAAAGGAAAAAAGGATCTCAAATTATTTTTTGAGAGAGAGAAGAAATGGAAACTCATTATCAGACAAAACATGTTTTGTTCAGCCAGAAACTGAAAGTGAATATTCACAATCAAATTTTAATAGAGAGGAACCAGTTTATCCTCAATTGAAATTGAAAGATACAAAAAGTGCAGTTCTTGATAAGAGGACAGAAATTTATCAGGAAATAAAGAGAAAAGGCATCAACCCTTCTGTTATTTTGGAAAGTAAATTTGAAGAGGAGGGTAGTGTAGTTGCAGATCATTCATCAACAGAGGAAGCTGATGTATTGCAACCAGGTTCCAAACAAAGTATCCAGCCAACAGAGGAGGTAATTTAGATTTTGGAGAATTCTTCAAGTAGGGGTAACTTCATATAGTCATAGGTAAGCTAAAGTGCTTAATTAGGCACCACACCATGAAGGAAAATGGGAGATTGGAAGTTTAGTTCAAGCTTGACACATTCTTAACCTCTGCATAAAATGGAGGTGAGTCGCCAACTTCACATTGTGACCCATCTACCCTCAGGGAGAGAGCCCCAAGTACCATATTGGATAGAGGGTACATGGGCTCTAATAAATGCCAGCTAATTTAACATATCTGTCTGTTGATGTAATGGTTAATACCATAGACTTGTATTCTAGAAGTGCTTGGTTTGAATCTCTGTAGGGACACCAGCCATCGTATCTGATGTTTTCATGGTTTCCCGAGTCCATCCAGGTAAATGCCAGGGTAGTTCTTGATTAGGTCTTCTTGCTTCTAACAGCAATAGCTCAAGATGACTGAACTGAAATATTTCTCTAATGAACTGCAATAGAGTCAGATTCACAGTTACTTTACAACTAACGGTTTACTGTCAATCAATTAGTCTCGGCAACAAGCCCCTTGAGGCTTATGACTTTTTTTTTTTTGTAACGAACCTTGCAGTCATAGTCCTTATGTAACATCCTCTCTCATGAGAGGATGGGTTTGTCTCTTCTGTGAATAGGCTTTGTCTTTGTCAAGCATACGTATCGCACATGTGTCATGTTGTTGAAAATTCTTCCTTGTGCACCATATACAAGTCCTCTGTCAATCCAGGCTTTGCAGAGCAGATCATGTCTATCTTACTTATCTTATGCTACAACAACAGCTTAGTCATTTCAACGGTCATAAGTTTGACCACTGCCAAGTTTAAGCCTCTTATATTTTCTGTGTGGGTCTTCACCTTGACCTATGCAGCAAACATGTTCATTCTCACGATTTTGTATGACTTCTGCTTGTTTACTGGCCATTTTGCTGTATAATCATATACATATTGAAGGCTGAAAGCCGTGTATAAGTTGTGGACCAGTGTGCACTTTGGGAAATTAGAGTGGCACAGAGAACCTAGTTTTGCAGACACTTCAATTTTAATATATGTCTGCCACTAATTTCCAGATGGGGCAAGCATAAATCATTACTGATCTAATCAGTGCCATATGGAGGGTTAGTTGAACAGCTAACTGGTCCTGCTTGTAATACCTCAGCACAGACTCTGTAGAAAACACTATTACTCGGTTGCAGTGCAGTTGATGCTTAGTGATGGCATGACATATTCCACTGTTGCGTGAGAAACCATCTCCGTGGACTGCACAGGAAACACCATTACAGACCATTTACAGACCACTGCCTATTGTGATTCCACAGTTCTTGCTTTGGATAAATATGCCACAATATGTTAAGGTTTAGTGAATGAATTTAATTTAGTTGTGAACTTGGTGCCCTTAAATTCAAAGTTTTGTATTTTGAGAATTAATATATAAGTACACATAATTCAGACAGTGAATGACTGAATGTAGGAGATGTACGAATTAGTGCTATTTGCAAAGTTTATAATTTGCCCATGGCTTATGCATAAAATTGATCTGAACATTTATTTGTATATGCCCTTTAGTCTCATTCAAAATAACATGAATAATATAGATAAATAATTCCAATTTTTAGATGAAATTAAATGATGATATAAAACATGAAAAAATGCAATTATGTATGAAGAAAATGGGATTCCTTGTGGAAGGGAAAAACATGTTTAACATAGCCACCTCGATGACCCAGTTACTGAATAGAGAAGACAAGAAAATTTCTCCTATATTGATGAGGAAGACGCAACATTTCTTTGATGAAGCCAGAACCATTTATTCATCACTGGAAAAGTACCTACATAAGGTAATAATGTTGTATTATTCCACTCAATATTTTTAAAGCTAGATGCAACAAACATTTATGAGCCTGTAACTGCCAAAATGTGCCAATATTTCTCTGCACAAAAGAAAAAGCATCCATTGTTAATCTTGCCTTCCCTTGATGCACCCTGTTTCCACAGACAAAACTTTGACCACTGAATTATGGTAATGGAGGGAATGAAACTTCTATTATTTAAGTTTCATTGTGTTATATTTAAATCAGATGTTTGAAATTTTGCTTTGATTTTGTTTCTTGATATGTTTACTGTCTTGAGTAATTAGTGCATATGAGTTGACCTTAATTAAACCCATTAGCCAGTAATTAAACTCCAAAAATAAATAACCAAGATTTTTTTTTTCTCTCATTTCAGTTCCAATGTGACAAGAAGAAAAAGACACATGAAAAACTGTCAAATTGTGCTTCTCGAATGCTACAGTGCCTGCTGAAGCTCCAGCATACTATTTCACTGAGAGATAACAAGATAGGAATGAATATGAAGGAGGTCATTGTGCATATCACACATGTGATGGATGTGATAGGAGAAGTTGTTACAATTGCCACTGAGGAGGTATGCATCACTTACCTGCATTGAAAATACTTCATCCAGAGAAACATGTACCTAACAGTAAATTCTAGAACAGTATTTCACATCCTTTTGGACCACATGAACAACCCTTCCTGACTCTTTGGACCATGTTATTTACAATGTTTACCTACTTATATCTACAGTCAACAAAAGTAGGCACTTGTTTGTGTATTTCATTTACCCATTTTACAATAAGAGTTTATATTATTCACGTTTTTGTCTGTTCAAAGATCACCTGACTGTTTTCTTTTTTATTTTATTCCATAATTATTTTCAGAAATGTATTTGTGTTTGCAAAACAATGTGTTTGACTCCAAGCTGTGATCAGTACCACTTAGAAAGAACACTGGTTGAAAATACAAAATATTAGATGTAGTCACCCAAGAAAATCATGTTCCTTAGAAACTGTCATGGACCACACACAGAATGTTCTTGGACCCCATATGGATCATATACTGGGAAAGTGTGTTGAGTATCATGGGTATCTGTACAGTATGTCTGCCACGTACATGTCTTACAAGATGTGTCAAGGTAATTTTGACATTTACAGCTGTTTCAGTTCCAGTAACATTCTCATTTATAGAATGCTTTCCTTATTTTATAAGGAAAAATAGGTGTTCGGTACGGTCATATCCATGTGTTGAACTTCTGCTGCAGATTTTCCAACCAGCTGACAGATTTTTATGAAATCATGCCATCTGTTTTGTGAGGATCAGACCATAAAAAGTCACCCATTTCTTCTATCTTCTCTCAGTCTTTTGTTATTGATTTCTTGCTAGCATTTTCCTACCTTTGTGAAGTCTCATAGTTTGAGTTGTTCCATAGGCCTCTCTCCATTCATATTTAATTCTCATACCCTTCTAAGTATTCTTGTTGTATCCATTCTATTCATTCATTTTAGTGATTTCTCTTCTAATTCTATTAACAAACTTTAGATCCCACTTTCTTCACTGAAAATTGTATTTCTAATCATGTCACTTACTATTTTATCCTCAGTAATTCCTAAAAGTTTACTTGAATTTTACTTTTGTTTTTCTCTGTAAGCATCCATATCTCAGCATCAAATGTAAAATTGATCTAAAAATATACTTTATAAATTGTTGTTTTCAACTGTTTTAGGACCGCTCTATTCTTTAATTTTTTAAAATAATTTTGTAGACGTTACGTATGTTATCCAGAAAGTAAGTTCCGATGGGCTATTGAAAAAGAAAACAAGAAATCATATCCAAACCATTTATGTTGCCATTTGATGTGCATACTGTACGCTGCTTTTTGACGTAGTTTCCACCGTTGTTGAGGCACTTGTAGAGGGCACCAGTTTTTGTATCCCAGCATCATAGAATGATGCAGCTTGTAATGCAAACCACGTGTTAATGGCTTCTTTGATCTTGTCATGGAACCTCGGCCACCAAGGAAAGTTTTCAGATGCAGGAACATATGAAACTCACTTGGCGCTAAGTCTGGGCTGTAAGGGGGATGATTGAATTGTTCCCAGCCAAATGTGATGAGATGTTTCATTGCAGCAGCAGAACTTTGTAATTAAAATTAATCAACATTTTAATGTTATTTCCAGTGTGGTTGTCATCCACCCATTTAAAAAATGTTTGTTTGATAGTATTTCTTGTTGTTGGATTTAGTTGTACTGCATTCCATTTGCAGCTTGGGTAGTATCTGTAATATGTAGATAATTTGTTGTGTTATTCTTTTTGTATGGTGTTATTACACTGTTTTAGTATTTGTTTTGTAATGTTTAAGCTTATCTTTATGTTTTCTTGGCTGCATCATTATTTATTAGTATTTTCTGTGTACATATTTTGGTGAGTTTCTTTCTCAAACAAAATTTGTTAAAGTTTATGTTTGCATTACAGCATAACAGTTTTTGCTTACAATTCATATAATTGTATGTCTTTAGCGTGACTGCTATTCATAATATTGTGTTTAATGATCCTGTTTCATTAATGTATCCTTAGTACACACATATTTCTAGTTTCTAGAATACCGAATGATGGACGAAGTTCAAAAACCCAGTAATTCTGACATGTGTATCTGTCTTAAATGCAACTTATTAGCTAGTCACCCTTCTTTCTTACTACATGTTTCAGCTGTATGTAGTGAGAAAGAAGGGTGACTAGATAATAAGTTGCATTTAAGATGGAAATATATGTGTGCAAAGGTTTATATGCATTATTTACTTTGCCAGGCATATGAAGCAGAACCTTGTAAGTAAGAGTGGATTGTTGCTTCTTATTATTTTTCTGTATCTTTGGGTTTGAGTATTATGAAATGTTGAACCATCATTTCAACATTAACGGTATTCGTAGACAATTTGAAACCTTATCAGACTTTCCTTGTGTTACTGTGTGTGTTTGATGTGAATTAGCCTTCATGGGGGGGGGGGTTCTTCAGAACTATTGGTGTTTGTCTGTTGTTTTCCACTGGTGTAGAGAGACCTTAGAGCCCTAACAAAACACTGTACACCATCGGCAAACTGCAGTTTTTAGATCCCTGCTATAGAAGTAATTGTCCATAGCTTCAGGAGACTTTGGGTTGATTATGTTGTGGCTCTATGTGTAACAGGTCAAAGTGGCGGGCACCATAGCTCAGGTGGTTAGTCACTGGCTTCCCACTGTGGGGACCCGGGTTTGATCCTGGGTCTGGTCGAGTGGGAATTGTGGTGGACGAAGTGGCACTGGGGCGGGTTTTCTCCGAGTATTTTGGTTTCCCTTGCCAATCTTCATTCCACCAAATTCTCCATCATCATAATCACCCAGGGCAGGCTACAATAGGCCCATCAGTGGCCGCTGTGCCGAGTGGACCCAGTAGGACTCCAACCCCCACTAAGCGAATTGAAAAAAAAAACAGGTCAGAGTGGCACAGCCAGGCCTGTTATTATGTGACTGTCAGAGAGTTAATTTCATCTGGGTCTCTAATGGAGCACAGCAAGGTGTATTTGGCTTACAATCTGAGTTCTGGACCTTTATTTGTTTGTGGAGCTCAGTGAGGGGAGTCCCTCATCCTTAAATTTTGACCTCCCCTTGGGGACATACAAGTTGAAAATCCTGCTGAAACCATGGAACAGCACCATTGAGATAGGAAAGATCCCCACTCACGAGACAGGAGTTTTATAGTAATGTCTAAGAAATATGTAATCTTAGAACAACAGAAACAAAAACAGTGATGACAACAACAACAACATACTCCATTTGTTGTAGGAACAAGCGAATGTCATCATCAATTAGTGATGTAGATGGTTATATTTTCATCAGAAGGTTACTGAATTATATTTTAAAGATACTACTGTTTATACATGCACTGGTGGGAAATTCAGATGTACTTACACAGGATTTTTCTTCCATAAGGTTACCTACACAAAAGTATGATATACCCTGATTCTCAGTGTACTTATACTATAATAATTGACAACAATGGCCGATGTGATAAATCTAAGTAGATTTGGCAAACTCAGAATGATGATGTTTTGATGAATTTGGAGATGATGCAGTAGTGTTCAGCATGAAAAGTGAGTCGGTGAAGATGTAAGAGATGGTTAAAGAATGGTAAAGGTGGCACATAAAAGTGGCAGAAGGCTGTGTAAGAGAAAGGAAAACTTTAAGAGCCCCTTTGCAAACCCCTGACACCAGATCAGGACATACCTATCCCAACTTCCTCTGTAATTATGGCAAATTTTCTATCTATTTTGAGATAATTCGGTAAAAATTTATTATGAAATTGCCTCATTTTTTACCTCATAATTGTGAAAATAAAGTAGAAAGTAGACATTTTTCATGCTGAAGATGAAGGGGCATGACATTGTTTCATGTCCAAGTTCATGTTATTCAAAGATGGTATAGTGTACTGCCTTGATAATGCTATGTATTTTCCTTTAAATTTAAGATTCACAAAGAAAGTCATCTTCATAGTCATCTCCGTGAAAACCTCAAAACTTACATTAAGATTCATAAGTTTGAATTTTTTATATTCAATTATATTTTCAGATTTTTTAATTTATTTTGCATTTTTAAATGTGGATGTTACTATCACTGTTATCAGTATTAATGTTGCCTAATTTTATTTGTTTAGCCTGACACCAAACTGCTTGAAGGGTTTGTGCTAAATGACTGCTATATAAAATTGGTAAGTTTCTGGTTTATATAAGTATTTCTTTATAAGTTTTCAAAGGAAAAGGTAATAAAGGAATATGTCCAGCCCCATAAGTTGATGACCAGTGCATAGATTTCTGAAAAAAAAAAATAATATTCAAAGTAAAGGCTATAATACATTTTAAATACAACTCTCCAATGAAGGTGGTTGGAGCGCCATCATTTTAGGCTAATGCTTGCCCAATTGTATTTTGAAAGCATAAGGAGATCACCTGGGATTGATACAGTATATTTAGATGCATTTTTTATGTTCAGTGTAATGACCTACAGTGAATTTGATGTAAAACAGTTATGTGTGTAATGACGTTAATATTGGTTATGCAGTTCATTGTTAGATATTGCTGTGGGAATAACACAAGAAACTATAACTTTCTGAGAAAATAATTCCTGCAGTTAATATTAAGAATGTAACTTTGTTTATATTTATTTATCTCTTTATTTATGGTTTATTTAATGACACTCATTGCCTTGGATTGTGTAATGTTTATTGGTAAGATGTTTAGTGAGTAATGAATTGGAAAGAATGTGGAAGGAAGCGATCATGTCTTAATTTGAGGTACTATCCTGATGTTTCTCAGAAAGCCATCAAAGCCTTAGGACAGGCAGTCTGTTGATTGAGATACGAACCCAGAACTTCCAAAGGAATGCTACCCACTGACTGCAATGTTTGGTGAACTTTCTTTTAATTCTTGCAGTTCATAGCTCTTCTTATATTTGATGTTCGATAGAAAATTGTGTAGGAAAAAATAGCCTGATTTGAGAAGTTTCTGAAATTCAAGCATGCCGGCTTTCAGGATGATATTTAGTGAAGGCAGTATGAAACTTGCATGTATGAATATATACACGTGTGTGTGCATGTGCATGTGTGAAAGGGGTGGTTCATAAAGTCTCGCCCTTGCACTGCGACCTTCAATGATCTATTGTCCTTCCCCTTTGATTAACCACTTATTAATGCTACACTTTGAATGAAACATAGGACTTTATTTATGGGGTTGTCATAATAGTCACTTGGTTCCATAAAGAACTGGCCCAGGTGATGAAATTTTAAATAAACTGTGGACTCACAATCATGTAAGATATGTGTGGCTGATTCATCTTCTTCTAGGCACCTTTCACAAGTTGGGTTATCTGTCAATCCCAGTTTGAAAAGGTGTCCTTTCAGATGGCATTGTCCAGTAAATAGTCCTACCACCCATCTTAATTGGTCTCTGTTTAATTTCAACAGATCCTTCTTTCTTTTGGCAGAGGGCCTAGATATAAGTCCCTTTGCCTGTTTGAGTCCGGTTGTGGATTCCCAGTGTCTTTTGTGATATATATTCATCCAGTCCCTGACCCCTTTCTTGGCAACTCCAATTGAGATGCCACAAGCTGGTTCAGATCCTGTTCTTGCCAGCTGATCTGCCGTTTCATTATCAACAATGCCCTCATGACCTGGCATTCATATCAGCTGAACTCCATTATGTTTGGCCAATTGTATGAGGGGTTGGTGGCAGCCCCAGACCAATTTTGAAGTGATCTGGTGTTTACCAAGTGCTTTAATTGCAGTTTGACTATCCAATAGAATATAGATGTTCCAATTTTTATAGTTTCTGTCTAATTTCTCAACTGCGTATGCCTTAATGGCATACACTTCCGCCTAGAAGACTGTTGTGTACTGACTGAGGCTGAAACTAAGTTTCTGCCTTGTTCCATTGCAGTACACCCCAGCTCCCATGCCTTTGTTTGTCTTGGAACTACCTGTATATCAGATTAGTCCCCCCTTTCTGTCTGGTTGTAACCCTTCTTTGCATTCACTTCTATCAGGGAACCTGATTGTGAAGGGTTTATCATAAACTTGTTTTGGTATCTTTTTGTCTGACCCCCATCTGTAGGATGTTTTTTCTTTTCCATATCCTGAATCATGTATGCATGTCCAAAATCTTCAGATTTAGGTTTCCATTGATTATTACAACGTAATCTGTAATTTCCTACCTTGGCCTCTGTTTCCACCTGAAGGTGCAGTGGGGGGAGTCTAAGGAGGACTTCCATCGCAGCTGTTGGAGCTGTTCTCATTGCTCCTGTAATTTTCAAGTAGGCCTCCTTTGCAGTTTGCTAAGTTCTGCCTGACTTGCTTTGAGTTTAACTGTGGGCAACCATATAGTGGCAGCATAGGTAACTGGGTTTTACCGCTGCAGTGTATATCCAATATACCACCCATGGTGTCAGTTCCCAAGTTCTCCCAAACATGCATCTGCATGTCCAGAAAGCCTTGTAGGCCTTATTGACTGCCTTATGCAGCTGTTTTTTCCATGTCAGTCCCTTGTCTAAAGTTATTCCAAGGTACTTGACTTCACTGGATAGCTGGATCATATTACTGAAGAGGATTGGTTCCTTAAGCCCCTTTATGTCCCTCTTCCTAGTAAATGGTATAATTAACATCTTGTATGGATTTATATACAGATTTGTTCTTTTGCACCACTCTTGAACTCTGTGCAGAGCTGTTTGCAAGACCTCTGACACACTGTGAGGGAATTTCTCAATGATTAGGATTGCTATATCAGCATATCCAACTGTATAGTAGTCATTACTGTTGAGCCCCCAAAGATGATCATCCATGACCAGGCTCTACAGCAGAAGGGAAAGCACTCCTCCCTGTGGACACCCTCTCACCACAGACACCCTCAGGGTCTCCCCAGTCAATGTAGCACTTATATTCCTGCTTTCCTGCTTAGCACAGATCCATCTATTGCGGACTCAATATCATGCCTTCCAGCAGCTTGTATTATCCTGTCAAATGATGTTCTGTCAAAAGGTCCCTCTATGCCAAGGAATGCTCCAAGGGCAATATCCTTGTACTGGATAGCACTTTCTATGTGTGTTACCACATTATGCAGTGCGGTTTCAGTAGAATTACCCAATTAGTAAGCAAGTTGGTTTCAGTACAGAGAATGAATCTTCAATGCACCATCCGTAATGTGTCTGCCTATCTACTAGTTTCTCCATCGTTCTCAAAAGGAAAGCCAACAGGCTGATAGGACAGTAGACCTTAGCCTCAGTATAGTCAAGTTTCCTGGGCTTTGGATGTCACTTTGACTTGCCTCCAGGCCATAGGAATAAAACCATATGCCTTGCAGGCTCTGAATATGCGGCATAGGTGTGGGACTAGATGTTCCACACCTTGCTGCAGAAGTGCCAGTACATTTCCATCTGTTTCTGTATACTTAAATAGTTTGAAGATACTTAACGCCCATCTAATTTTTGATTGATTGATCATATGTTTGGCCAGGTTCCCGTCTCCCCTGTTCCTTATGTGTCCACATACTCCCAGGTTCTGCTGGCCCCGTCCATCACCAAAATCATCAGTCAGTTTTGAATCAGGGAAGTGAACTCTGAACAGCTCTTTCAATGTCCCTTTTCCAGTTTTGGTGTACTGACCATCAGGTAGCTTGATAGTACTAACCTTGTTAGTCGCCCATTTTGCCATGATCTTTATGAGTCTGGCACCGTCCGGTACATCACTGATTTGGCAGTTCCTCCTCCATGAAGATCGTTTGACTTTCCTTATTTCTTTATTATAACAGGTGAGGGTTTCTTTATAGATGTCATATTGCCCTGTTCTTTTTGCTTTATTGAGTAGCTTTCTTGTTTTTGTTCTCAGCCCACTCAGCTTTTATTCCACCAAGATGCATTCCTTCCTAAGGAAGTGGTCTTGGATGGACAATTTTGATAATAGGACAAGATAATGGCCTTTTTCAGCTGGTGAACAGACCGATCTGTGTCCCTTATCATGTGTGTAGTTCATGAAATAATCTCCAGATTCAACTTTAGGTCGTCCTTGTACGACTCCCAATTGGTTCTCTTGGGATTCCTAAAGGTAACTTAATTTGTTGTTATGTTACCTATTTGAAAGCATATGTATCTGTGGTCTGATAAAGACGGCTTATCAGATACATGCCAATTACTTACTAGGTTTCCGATTTTATTTGTCCCAAGTGTCAAGTCAATAACCTCCTTCCTATTGCAGATCACAAAGATAGGTTCATTACCATGGTTTAGAATATTCAGGTTTGAACTCACCAGAAAATCCATAAGGCTTTCTCCCCTTGCATTGGTGCTGATGCTTCCCCACAAAATGTGATGTGCATTGGCATCACACCCAACCATGAATTGCTTTTTCCTGATATGGCGGTAGTCTTATGATGTGTCTCATTTCCTTAGTCGATGGTTCATCTGAGTCATAGGGAAGGTAGGTTGAAGCAACAGTGAACTCCTCACAACCTCCACAATATGTATAGTGTGACATGTTGACCCCTACCTCCCCAGCGGCATGTGGCGGTAACGTAGCGCTCGCGTAATAGGCGAGTCATCACCCCGCCACTCTCCCCGCGGTGACGTGCCGAGCGGAACCAAAGTGAGCCGAGCGGAGCCGAAGTTAGCTGAGCCCCGCATCTTGGTAGCTATGCAACGCGCAGTGACGCAACACGGTGACGCGGAACCGCTTCCTACTGTGACGTGGCACGCAACAGGCAACACTGCAGCTATATAAGGGAACTGCACAGCAGCTACGAGTCAGTTGTACTGTGGCAGTCGCAGAGATCAGTAGTAGCCTGCGAGTTGAGTTGTAACGTAACAGTCGCTGAGTTGAGTCATAATGTGACAGTCGCCGAGTGTGTTATCAACAGTTCTCCAGTCAGCCGACTACAGTTGGAATATAGCAGCAGTCGCGGAAAGAAGAACCAGACGTTTGTGTAATTGGGAGTGTGTGATACAGTGATACATAGCTCCCCTACTGTAAACGGGTAGACTACTGAAGATAGTGTGAAGAGATTTTGTTGTAGGGTTTGTAAAGTGTGGAAACCCCGCAACAGTGGTAACAGATTAATGCGATTAGGGTTATAAAGTGTGAAACCCCGCAACTGTGTGATAAGTAATTGTAGCCGTTACTTGTAGATTGTTCAGTAAACCAATTAACGATCTCTACGGCGTATTCAGTAACGAAACACGTTACAATATGTTATCCTCACCATTGTTGCATCCCTGGAACAGAACTCCAGCAAATGCAAGGCATTAATATGACTCCTGATGTAAATAGAGGATCTTGCATTATTATTAGGTGCAAAAGAATTGACTGTTCCCCCTGTACTGGTTAAACCTCTTATTTGGCCTTTGTATAACCAAGGTTCCTGAATAAGTGCTGCATCTACCTTTCCCTCAGCTAGCTGCTGACATAAAGTTGCTGTGGTGTAGATTAATCTGAAGGAATTTTATGATGTGTGTGTGTGTGTGTGCGCGTGTGCACACATATTTCAAGTTCGTGTATGTATGTGCGTTCTCATTTTTTCTTTCCATTTGGGTAGGGGTCAGTCTCCATCCTCTCTCCCATAGCTTCCTCCCTCTAATCAGACTGGGTTCCATTCAGTGGGGTCCCCTGATCTGCATAAGTGGGTTTTGTTTTGTGAGAAATTTCCTCTTCCCTCTCTACTGCTCTACTCCAGTCATCTGAGGGAGTGGGTATCCCATCCCTCCCCTCAGAGACTGATTTTAAGAATGCTGTATCGAGCTCAGTTTCTTTCTGATGCTGTGCTTCAGGATCTTTCAGGACTTTAACAGTTCCCTGTGAGAGTCCTCTAAAGATCTCATGTCTGGTCCTCTTTATGGTAGTATAAGAGTCCTGGTCTGTGAGTAAGATAAGCCTCTGGCCTTTTGACTCAGATTGCTTATCGAGTACCCTCCAGTGCTCAGTATGGAATCGTGGATTGAAGTTCTTAATCCATTTCAGCAGCTCTTCCTAATTCTGGGCAACTTCATCCCTTATCTCAAGAGCCACTTTGATAGGCTTGGGTAGGTTCCTGGCATCAGAAGCCTTTAGCCTGGTCCCTGATTCTAGCCTGTAGTTGTTAATAGCTTTGACGAGCCATTGACCAGACTGTTGGTTGGCATATATATAATTAAGTGCACCTTCCTCCAGTCTGTAGGACTTCAGGTGTGGTAGTTCTCTGATTGGAGTCCCATGTAATATCTCCCCCAGTATTTCCAGAATGTAATTCTGGTCATCTTCTGTTAGGTTGTCTTCAGGATATGTTTCGCTGAAGACAGCTATCTTTGTATTGGTCAGAGCCTCATTGTAAGTCCCTGGTCCCATAGAATCCCTGGGCCTTTTTGGAACTCTGGCCGTTTCTGTAGGGGTACTGCCTTCTGACCTTGGCCTCTTAAGGGTTTCAGTATGGGTTTCTCCCTGCTTGGGTGTGCCTGCATTTCCTGGTTGCTGAATACCCTCAGTTCCTGCTGCTCTTGCCTTTTTTAATTTTCATCTGGTGCATCCAGACAATGCCTTCTTTCTGATATGTTGAGTTTTTGGACTTTATCCATCGTCCATCGTCCATGCCTTCTTTGCCAGACACGGAGTTCACCTACTCCAGAGACTAGGTCTCTGCTGTAGGTATGCTAGAAGTACTAGCTCCATGCAGTGGTATTTCAGTACTGCTGACTCCCAAGAGAGGGGTCCTTGGTTCTACCTCGGGCAGGTTTCTCACCATTGGTTCACCCAGCCTTTCTGAAATTTCAACAGCAGGTCCGTTGGTTGCAGCCAGGCCCCTTAACAGTGAACCGGAGCTTCCAGGCTCTTGCTGAAGCATTTCTCCTTGAGGGGGAGTTCCTCTTCTGTTTTAGGTCCTTAGAACCGGTCTTTTCTTTTGCTTTGGCTTCCATAGTGGTCCCACTAGTCATAGGAATGTAGAAGGTTGCCACCCACAGCACCCCATTTGGGTGGAAGGCATGAATACAACGGGGTTCTGCCTGGTGCCCCAAGGGGATCATTCACAACACCAGCTAATAACCACTCCAGTGCCACGCAGCCCTCAGCATGATGCCTCACACCTTGGCTTNGGGGGGGGGGGGGGAATCCCAGATGACAAGTGGGAGTGGGACACCAGCTAATCATAAGGTTGTGACCAGGGAAACTTGCATGAAGAAATCGCCCCTAGGGGTGGCATATAAGCCCCCTCATTCTCACCCCTCCACATGAGTTGAGCCAAAAGGCTTGCGGTACCTTAACAGTACTCTAGGGAAACAACTTAAGTAGACAAAGCTACCCCCATATGAGTGCTCTCCTGCATTTGTCCCAGGCAAACCATAGTAATCCCCGTGAGTCATCATGCCAGTGCATGGCAGGCTCTGGTCATAAAACACCATTGCCCTTTATGGGAACTTAGCTGCCAGTCGTCATACCAATTCAGATCCCGAGACTGTCGCTGCCCAGCGAGGATCACAAGGAGGTGTCCCAAAGGTGTGTCCCAGTGCACCCTGTGGTCCATGATGTGGCCCCACCAGAGAAGCAGTCGTAGTTCGGCCAACCTCATTGACGATCGTATCATTACTACCTGAAACATATGACCTAAAGAAGGTCACCGTTACTCCCGCCAAGGCAGTATGAAACTTGAATATAAATGCATCATTTAGGAAATTGATTGGGTTTAACTTAGAACTGTGTTGTTTTTAAACTCTGTGCTGTCACATGTCAGTTAACTTTCTCATGGTTCTAAACTTATAATCCCTTCAAGTGGCATGTCTTCTGGTTTTGTTGACACATGATAATAATTTTACAACTATAGCAATTCAGCTTTCTTGTCTTTAATAAGTAGGTGCTTACTAATCATAAACTTAATATCTGCATTTAATTTTTGCTATGGTGCATGCTCATGACCACCTGGATGAGTATTGCATTTTTCTAAATCAATACCATCATCAGTCCTCAAGTTAAAATATTACTGCTGGTACAATAATACTTGGAAATTTAAAATCTCCTGTTTCCAGAAAATAAAGGGTAAAATGATTGAAATCTGGTAAACAGTTTATCCTTTGTGTATGAGACATATTGTGGGGGGGTCATTTGCACTTATTCTAGGGTCTACCTTTCTGAAGGTAGTTCACTTTATGCCAGTGGCTGTACAGCACTTATGGAAACAATTTTATACGATTGAAATATCTTTGAGAGGAAGGCACTTGAAATTGTGTTTTTGAGAGTCTTAGTTATGGATCTAACCTGTTAAAAATTATGGATCTAACCTATTAAAAATTATATATATGGACAAATACCGTCTTAAGTGCAACAATTTTATTGTAGTTTTTACTTCTTTTTCCTCCTCCACACTACATGTTTCGGCCCTAAATGGCCATCATCAGGTGTGTATCACTCACGTAACTGTTACACTGCTTGTTAAAAATGTAAAANCCTGAAAAATTTTAATTTGAAAAAGAAAGAGAACAAAGATCTTATAGACATTTTAACTTGAATTAAGGTTTAAAAAGTGCTAATTTAAAAATCAAATCGACGCGTGTAGATTAACAAAGATTTTATACAATTAGAAAGACTGGGATTTTTACATTTTTAACAAGCAGTGTAACAGTTACGTGAGTGATACACACCTGATGATGGCCATTTAGGGCCGAAACATGTAGTGTGGAGGAGGAAAAAGAAGTAAAAACTACAATAAAATTGTTGCACTTAAGACGGTATTTGTCCATATATATATTGTGTGAGTGTAACAGGATGCTGAAATATAATACTATTAAAAATTATTACACTTCAGTATGTGATAAAATTACAAAAATATTTTAGAAATTACCTTTTTAGAAGTGTGTATTTATCATTTGTATTTAGCGTGAATTTATTAAATACCTGTTGTTTAAACAGATCAGCTGTAACAACATACGCCATTACATAGTACTTTTCGCCCACGTTCATTTTATTTTGTATTCTATTTTAACTAATATTTATATATTTTATTTTAATTTAGGAGGACATAGCACATATGCTAAAGGGCAAGAAAACTGTAAATTTGAAACACATGAAAGAGTCTCAAGAAAATAGAATGACACGGAGCCTCACTGATAATATAACATTAGATTGTAATGACTGTGGCTTCAGGGAATTCGGTGATGCATTATTAAAGATGAAGAGGAAGAGAGACACACTACGCAGGTGTTATGGAAATAATATGAAGAAGAGGAGGACAAAGACCTCTGAAGATAATGTCTTTAAGGTAAGTTTTTATGATCCCCAACAGATATTCTTGACAGTAAGTACTGAATTTCAGATTGCAATTATGGTATGCAGTAATGTTATACATGTTGTTGTATTTCAGCATCCTGTTGCATTGTGGCATCATTTTTAGATCGTAAGTATACCGTCTGTAATGCAACAGTAAAGTTGCATTATAGATGGTATACTTAAAGTAAAAAGTAAAGGTATCCCTATAACAGGACATGGAGGCCCATAGGGTTGTGAGATGTTGAGATTCCACCATTTTCTAGACAATCAGCTCATAGATGGCGGTAAGGTTGTCAGCCTTACATGCCAGCCGCCATTTACCCTCAAGAATATTCCAAGAATATTCCTCGTACTCATTTCTGTTGGAGGCTGAGTCAACTTCAGGGCCATAGTGCGGCTGGAAGGATTAGGTAAATTGAAAAAATCCACATCATCGGGATTCGATCCTGCGACCTTCCAGCTTGTAGCATAGTGCCTCAACCAACTATGCTACCATGTGCAGATGGTATACTTACGATCTAAAATTGATTTTATACATGTGTTTCATTTCTGCTGTTTCATGTTTTGGACATTCACACAGCAGTTGATCTCTAGCATAGAAAATTTTCTTTCTCTTATGTTCTATTCTGTTGTTATGAACCAAAGACCTCACACCTTTCTGAAGGTAGTTCACTTTATGCCAGTGGCTGTACACTGCTTATGGAAACAATTTTATACAATTAAAATATCTTGGAAAGGAAGGCACTTGAAATTGTGTTTTTGAGAGTCTTAGTTATGGAGCTATCCTATTAAAAATTATTACAGTTTAGTATGTGATAAAATTACAAAAATATTTTAGAAATTACCTTTTTTAGAAATGTCTATTTATCCTGTGTACATAGGTTGGATAAAAAGTAGTGGCAACACCTCTATAGTTCTGAAATGACTTTATTAACTGAGGTAAACACAGTTACATTTCTTCAATATAATCGCCCCCCATGTGTACCACCTTCTGCCAAATTTGTGGAAGGCGTCGTACACCATCAGCGCGTCCACTTCTGTTGATGTCCAGCAGTGACCGCCCTACAGCACAGATAATCTCTTCTCTTGTGTTGTAACATGTCCCTCACAGTGGCATTTTGGCAAAGAGATCATAATTGCACGGACTCATATCGGGTGAGTATGGCGGATATTGCAGTATCTCTCATCACCAGGGGCAAAGGAGATCCTTGACAGCATCAGCAGTATGAGCCCTTGCACTGTCATGAAGGATGATGGGGTTCATTGCCAACAAGTGTCGTTGCTTTCTCCTGAGTGCTGGACGAAGATGATTACGCAGGAAATTGCAGTAGTAGGCAGCATTTACTGTCTGTCGTTGAGGTACAGTGTGGTGCAGTATCACTCCATCAATGTCATATGCCTCAATGAACATTGCCTTCACATTATTCTGTGTAGGGTGCACTTTCTTTGGATGAGGAGAGCCAGGATGCTTCCATTCATTTGATTGTCACTTCAAGTGCGGTTTGTATGAGTGAGCCCAAGTTTCATCCAGAGTGACGATCCTTCCAAGAAAGTTGTCACCTTCCTTCAGGTACTGGTCCAAAAAGTCCTGTGCAGTTGCATAATGTTGCCACTGTTGCACCTCAGACATTGTCTGGGATACCCAACGTGCTGCAATTTTGCGGTATCCAAGAATATCATGCATAATGTGGAGCACGGTTTTGTGACATACACCTACCTCAGCAGCTAACTCCCGCTCAGCCCCTCGATGATTGACATGCAGAAAAGAAGCAAGAAGCTGAATTGTTTGGTTCTGAACAATGGCTGTTCTGAATGGCATCCCTCCCTTCACAGAACAATTTCACCCATCGTGTGACTGTGCAATATGGCAAAGCAGCATCACCACATACTTTTCGCAGTCTCTGATAACAGTTTTGTGCACTATGACCTCATGCAACTTCAATTTTTATCCAGGAGCATTGTTCTTGTTTCGTAAACATGTTGTTAGGGTGCTACTGCACTTTAAGACGATGCACAATGCAACTCAATGAAACACAACCAGAGCCACTTACTGCACTACTTCAACTGAACTTCTGCTATCAGCTACAGATGGTGCATATCTTTCATGTTACAGCAGTGTTGCCACTACTTTTTATCCATCCCTTGTATTTAGTGTGAATTTAATAATTACCTGTTGTGTAAACAGATCAGCTGTAACAACATATGCCATTACATAGTACTTTTGGCTCATGTTCATTTTATTTTGTATTCTATTTTAAGTAATATTTATATATTTATTTTAATTTAGGAGGACATAGCACATATGCTAAAGGGCAAGAAAACTGTAAATTTGAAGCACATGAAAAAGTCTCAAGAAAATAGAATGAGAAAGAGCCATACTGATAATATAACATTAGATTTTAATAACTCTGGCTTCAGGGGATTTGGTGGTGCATTATTAAAGTTGAAGAGAGAGACACTACGCAGGTGTTATGGAAATAATATGAAGAAGAGGAGGACAAAGACCTCTGAAGATAATGTCTTTAAGGTAAGTTTTTATGATCCCCAACAGATATTCTTGACAGTAAGTATTGAATTTCAGATTGCAATTATGGTATGCAGTAATGTTATACATGTTGTTGTATTTCAGCATCCTGTTGCATTGTGGCATCATTTTTAGATCATAAGTATACCGTCTGTAATGCAACAATAAAGTTGCATTATAGATGGTATATTTAAAGTAAAAATTAAAGGTATCCCTATAACAGGCCATGGAGGCCCATAGGGTTGTGAGATGTTGAGGTTCCCACATTTTCTAGGCAGTAAGGATGTCAGCCTTACACGCTGGCCACCCTTTACCCTCAAGAATATTCCTCATACTCATTTCTGTTAGAGGCTGAGTCAACCCCAGGGCCATAGTGCAGCTGGAAGGATTAGGTAAATTGAAAAAAATCCACCTCATCGGGATTCAATCCTGTGACCTTCCAGCTTGTAGCATAGTGCCTCAACCAACTATGCCACCATGTGCAGAGAGTATACTTACGATCTAAAAATGATTTTATACATGTGTTTCATTTCTGCTGTTTCATGTTTTGGACATTCACACAGCAGTTGATCTCTAGCATAGAAAATTTTCTTTCTCTTATGTTCTATTCTGTTGTTGTGAATCAAAGACTTCACAGTTTTTTTAAATGTGTATATATTATTGATTAGGTTAGGTTCTGTTCTGGGGACAGAAGAGGATATTCTCATTTGAGAAAGTTGAGATTGCATTAAGTGGAGGAACTGTTTTGGAAGAGACTGTGGACCTGACGTCTGACAGATTACTGATGAATGAATGAATTATTGATTAATTATTATTTAATTTGCAATTAAATAATCAAAATCTGAACATAAGATGAAAATTGAATGTAGGATTCTTTGTTTCAGGTGTTTCAAGGGCATAAACCAGTTGAATATGAAGCTATTGAGATTAGTATTCCTGCAGATGATGAACAGTTTCAGATTTTCAGTGGATGGGATCAGGATTCCGCTAATTATGAACTTATTCAGTCTTCCATTAGAAGGATTAAAGTTTTATCAAGTCATGTACCAAAGGAGATTTCAGAAGGGGTTCAGGCTCCTGTAAGCTACGCACTTGCAGAGTTTTCAACAAACAAACCCCAGGCCTCTGTATATGAGGAATCAGGACAGCATTCAACTAATATATTTCAGATCCCAGTAAATAATGAACAGACAGAGATATTTACTGATGAATCTCTGGTAAGTTTGTGTTATAAATCAATAGTATGTTTAACTAATAAACTGCAGGTCCCTATAAGTCTTGGAATAAGAGAGTTCTCAACTAGTGGACTTCAGATTTCTGTTATACTAAATCTGTAAGTTAAAAAAAAAGAAAAGATAAAGCTATCCCTATAACAGGCCGTGAAGATGCATTGGGTTGTGAGACATCGAAACTCCCACATTTTCCCTTTACCATCTGCTCACAGATGGTGGTAAGGTTGTCAGCCTTATGCACTAGCCGCCCTTTAATCCCCAGGTCCATAGTGCAGCTGGAAGGATTAGGTAAATTGAACACATCCACCTCATCGGGACTCAAACCTGTGATCTGCTGGCTTGTAGCATAGTGCCTCAACGAACTATGCTACTGTATGCCCTTATTCTAAATATATAGAGCATTCATCTAGTGGGCTTCAGGTCCCTGTCAGCCATGAATATACAGTGTGCTTAGCCAGGAAGGGTCATTTAGAAAGGAGAGTTAGCACATATAACATCATACTCAGTGACACAGGTTTTGTCACTTCCGTGGTAAATCATTTTTCATCTGGGAATATTTTATAAAATTATTGATAACCAGCTTTTTTGGGGGGAGAAAATGTTGATATATGGGTACTACACCTCAATGATGATGACGGTGATGGTGATATACCTATCCAAAATATGAGGGCTATTCAGAAAGTAACCTCTGGTGAGCTGTTAATGGAACTAGTAAAGAGAAAGAATCCTGTTACATAAAACAAATACGTGACAAAGAAGTCAGACTCCTGCGAGCTCTGCTATGTTTTGATGTCTCCCATCAGCTCCCTAATATTGTTGAAGCACTGTGATCCCAACCAGTTCTTCAGGTAGGTAAATAGGTGGTAGTCACTCGGAGTGAGATTAGGGCTATAAGGAGGGTGGTCAGGCAACTCCCAGCTGAAATGCTCTAGCAGTGCTTGACTGTGAGCAGCTGTATGCAGAAGCACAGTGTCATGGAGGGGCACTACAATGGATGTAAGCGGATGGCGCTATACAGTTTTTTTTTTTTTTTTTTTTTTTTTTTTTGCAATGCACACGTGACATTATTGTGGTCACTTGTTACGTGAATTCCACCATCAACTCTCCGTTCCTGTCTCAGAAAACAGTTTCCATCAGCTTTCTGGCAGACAACGTTTGTTTAAACTTTTTCAACTTGTTTGGTGAATGTGTATGCATCTACTGCTATGAGTGCTTTTTGTTTTCAGTATTCACAAATTAAACCCAGGTTTTATCACCTGTTACTTATATGATATGATTGAGAAATTCATTGTCATCTTTGTGGTGTCACTCTAAAGAGTCAAAGCCAAAGACAGTCTCTGCATTTCGTGTGCATTCTTGAGCATTTTTGGAATCCATCTTGCACGAAACTTATGATAGCCTGGCTTAACTGTGATAATCTCCTATAGAGAAGAGTGCAAGGAATTTGTGGAAATTTACATTAAAGTTCTGAAATTGTGAAGTGCTCTCTTTCATAGATTTTTTGACAACACTTTGAACAAGATCATCACTCACTACAGATGGCCGACCATTTCGCACTTCATCGTGAACATTCTACACCATTGTCTTACAGTTTCTTCACTCATTACATTTTGGTCATAAACTGCTGCACATAATTCACCATGGGTTTCTGAAGCACTCGTGTTTTTAGTATGAAGAAAGCAGATAGCAGCATGAATTTGGCAGCTGGTGGGATTATCAGTTGCAGGACACATCATAACTCACTCTGTAGCGACAAGAACAAACACTAGGTGACCAGTTATGTGATGGTTTACAAGGCAGTGAGCCATGTGATACTACCTCACATGCATGAGTCCTCCCCTGCTCCTACATTAGATGCCTCAAATAAATGGATGTTAGTTTCTGAGTAGCCCTTATATAATCATTTCATGAAATTACCTTTCTGATTTCATAAATAACTCCACTTCCTGTTTATACTTAGTGCAGAATGCTTCTTTCAGCCCACCCACTAGCCACTGGACTTCCTATTGACCTTTTAAACATGTCTTTACTTAAAAATAACACCAGAGGCAAATAACCACAGTAATCAGGGACAAAAGTTTACACTACATTCCATTTCCAGTCCCTCCAAGATTTCAGAATTCTGGATAAAAGGTGTGATACCTATATATTAGAACTTTCCTTTGACTTATAAAGTTCTGTATTACCACTTAAAAACTGGTGTTTGTAGCTGTAGAAGTTTTCATATAATTCTGAATATCGCAGAAATTTTAATGGAGTTGCCTTAAATTTTGAAGTAGTTCATTGGCAATAACCAGATTTATGGTACTTGCACATTGAACCTAATTTTATTTGAGTGTCCATATTGTGGCTGTGAAAGTAGATGAATTGAAATAATATTAGGATTAATAGAAATATATAGGGATTCTGCGGGACATATATCTATGGTATAGAAGGGTCAGAGCATCCAGAATTTTAATTTTTACCATGAGTGTGACGTCTGTATCAGAATCTTGAAGCATATATTAAATGTATTGAATGGAACTGAGCAGTTCCAAGCAACCACTCACCCAGACATGGCACATTCCACATCAAGGTTAATCCACAAGAATAAACAAAAAGCATGAAAACAAAAACGACACACACTAACAGAGTGAAGTGGAACATGTAATCTGAATACCGGTACAAGATTATGCATGACAAGATCTACCTTATGATGACCAGAATAAACAGGAAAAAACAATGGCATTATTCATGACACCACTGTGACCTAAATGAGATAAACACAAATTATAACATAACATTTTAACATCTAATTTCTTAATATTTTTAGCATAATTTTGTATAATAGATGCATAACACCATATGATTACTTTCAATGTAAACAAATCTGTACAACGACCAGGAAAACGAGGAAACAATGTTATTTGCAACATCGCAATGACACAAACAAAAAAATATTAATTATAATACAATATCTTAATGTTTAACTGTTTAACATTTTAATATTTTAGCACAATTTTATATAAGAGACATTGGCTCATAACAGAATAACTCCCAGGTGTAAACATTGATCGATGTAGAAAGAAAATGGCAGAAAAGTGAAGGTAAATGTAGAAATAGATTTTACTTGATGATGGCCAAAAAGGCTGAAATATGTTGTAATGTATAATATAGTGTAATTATACACATAAATTGTGATGGTTGAAATAAATAATAAATTATTCACACATAGTATGAATCTACAGTATACTTTCATATAATTCATGTTAAACATGTGGAGGAAAAAATATTTTTCATTAGGTGGACTTTCCAAATACAGAAATACTTATAGATGGAATGTCATATAAGTTTGAAATTCACACATTAATATCTGTTGTGCTTTGTACAGAATGCCTTCACTGCTTCTTATTATTATTTATGATTTATTTCATAATCCTGTCAGTAGCTAAGACTATGTATCAAGGTTGTCCAACTTGTGGCATGCATGCAGAATTTGGCATCCCAGTTGATTTTGTGCAGCCGCTGGGTGTAATGTTCCATTCCCCAAATTATGTGTTAACAGTTTCCTCCCCTTAAAATGACGCTGGAAACACTTTATGAAATGTGCTTCATAAATATTCTGTTTAATTTTTCAGTTGATTTTACATAACATCTAAAAATAACTTAGGAATATATGAAATTAATGTGACTGCATGATTGTATGCCATTTTGATACAACCCAGCAGAAAATTAGTGGCTGATTTTTAAACACAATTGACCTAGCAGCATTCAATTTAAATCTTTTTGAAGTTAATGGATTTAGTTCTTGTCCATGTGCTTGTGCCTTATGGGTTTTATCATTGCAGGGTAAATATTTGTATCACTATACTGGCAACAATATATCCTTTATAATGTTGTCTGTGGATTAGGTACCTAAGATATAGTGCATCCCCCCCTTCAGTTATTTTAAGTTACAGAGCCCTGCTGTATAGCATTGAACAGTAGGATGATAGGTTAATGAACTGGAAAAGTTGTGGAAGGAAGTAGTCATGGCCTAATTTGGGGTTTTATCCCAACATTTGCACAGGGAAACTGAGGATAAGCACAAAAGCACTAAGGATAGCCTGTCTCAGGCCAAGATTTTAACCTTAGAACTCCAAATATGAAGTATGAATGTTACCAACTCATTCATGATCAGTATTATTACCTCATAATGGTATAGATGGAATGTAATTTTCTTTAATATTGTATTCTAGGTAAACATCAAACAAGAAATTACAGATTTTGAAACAAGTCCAATTACTTCAAGTGGTGAGGGCGTATATATTTATGAAGAAACCTTTACAAATTGGCAGGTATGATAGTACATACATTAAGTTTTATTTTATAAAACTAGCAGTTTTCTAGTCCAACATACTCATTTCTGTTTTCCCTATTTCCATGTTGTTCCTTATGGTCACATTGTATTATTCTGTGAACTGTTTCTGCTAGAAGGAGTGCCTTTGCCCTAAACTCATTAAAGCTTAATAGGTAATATATGTACCACCTGCTTTTACATTCAGAAAATGTGCATCTTTGCCACATTGCATTTATATGAGGCAGTCCACATAAAAGTGGAAGCAAGGAAGTAGAAGTGTAATATTTGTTTTGTGTGACTCAAAATAAAAAGCAATTACAGTGGAACCTCGCTTAACGAGCATAATTCGTTCCAGAATCTTGTAATGCGAAACACTTGTTAAGTAAAACAATTTTTCCCATATAAATTAATGTAAAATACAATAATGCATTCCATGCCGAAAAAATACTCAAAAAGTTTTATATATAACGTTTATTCCAAGAAAATTATATATACATTGTTAAGGAGCGTGAATCATCTTCACCTTTTCTTCTATGCAGAATGAACCAACCTGGAACGTGAATTCGATTTGCAGGAAAAAAAAAATTAAAATAATTAGTTTATTATTTATGATACATATCTAATTCTTTTTTACTAGAAAGCTCTCTAGAGACATTTGTTTTTGCTGATGCTTCAAAATTTGGTGAAAATGTGACACAGCATTATCATTAAATAAATTTGTAGCGCGCATAGCCACTACCTTATTAGGGTGATGCTTCTCAATGTACGATGCAACAGTTTCCCATGCTTTCAGCATTTCTCTTATTGCGCCAGAAGATTGCTGCTTTGCTGTTATCTCCTCCTCCTCTGACAAACTCTCCTCCACAACTTCTTGCTATGAAACACAATGCAACTCCAAATTATTGATGTAGACTGATTGTATGTGCGTGCTAAATCAGCCACGCTCACACCTCGTTCTCGCTTTTCAATGATTTTATGTTTCATTTCTACCGTTATTTTTATTCTCTTATGGCAGTCTTTTTGCGGCTTTTTCTTCAGGGACATTTTTGCAAGGGTTATTAAACTTTGCACAAAAAAAAAATCACAAATAATATGTCTGAACACAAGTTTGGAAAAATGTGTGATCACAAGTGACACTAAGATGCTAGCAGAATGAGTGCTAAACACAGACTGCTGTAGCAAGCACACAATCCGGGACTTCCCCTCTCATCACTCGTTATGCGAAACATCGCTTGTTATGAGAGGTGCTCGTTAAGCGAGGTTGCACTGTATTTCACTGAACAGCATTAATCAATTGGTCTCTTGTAATGGGTGCACAGTGTTCTTTTATGAGGTTAGGAAGAGAATTTTTAAATAACATTTAGATGAATTTCAGGCTTCAAAGCATTAGCCAAGTTTATTTTAATTTGTGATCTACTGCTCAGGAAACATCCCATTCCAGTTTTGGACTGTACTGATGGCTTGCATAGCCAGATGCTTTTGCCTTATTTTTCTTCTCTTATTTCTTGTGGGAATAGTTTTTGTCCTTGGTCAGTTTTATCTCTGAGCACAATTTAAGACATAATTTGTGTTACATTATAGTCTCTTGGTTTCTTAGGGTATCTTCTGTATGCCCCTTGTTAGGTGGGTCCCTTTTCAGAACAGCATGGCGTGCCCTCAGGTTGCGGATAGGAGACGCCCTCCAAGTATGGAGGAAAGCTGTAAATATATTGCATAAGCAGTCACGGACAGCTGACAGTGGGTGATCCTCCAGCTGGGGGGTTGGGTGTGGGACTAACAACTCACCATAAATAATAAGCTTGTTATGAAAATGTTCAAAAAGTATCAGACCTGGATGGATCCCATGGATAAACAACGTAGGCAAAAGAAAATGGATATGAGATTTGGTACTTGGAATGTAGAAGTACAAGTATGACAGGTTCGCTCAGGGCAGTGACAGATAAAATCTCAAAATATAGGTTAGATTTAGTGGGAGTACAGGAGGTCAGATGGGATGGATGTGGCATTGAACCAGCAGGCGAATATACATTTTTCTATTGAAAGGGGAATGAAAATCATGCATTAGGTACAGGTTATTTGTACATAAGAGAATCGTATCAGCAGTTAAGAGGGTAGGGTTCATTAATGATAGTTTGTCATACATAATACTAAGAGGTTGCTGGTGTGATATCATCATTCTGAATATTCATGCGCCAATGGAAGATAAAATTGATGATATAAAGGACAGGTTCTACGAAAAACTATAACATGTATTTGATAAATTCCTGAAGTTCCATATGAAAATTTTGTTAGGAGACTTCAATGCAAAAGTAGGCAGGGAAGACATTTCCAGACCAATGATTGGGAATGAGAGTTTGCATGAAATTAGTATAGTGTAGTCAACTTTGCCACATTGAAAAATCTTACTGTCAAATGTACAATGTTCCCACATCGTAAGATCCATAAATTTACTTGGACATCTGATGGGAAGACACACAATCAAATTGACAATATTTTGATAGATAGGAGACGGCATTCAAGTATACTTGATGCCTAATTGTTCAGGGCAGCAGATTGTGATACTGACCACTACCTGGTGGTGGCAAAGTTAGGGAGAGACAGGCAGTGGGTAAACAAACAATGCACAGATTTCATGTGGAGAGGTTGAATCTCAAGAAATGAAATGAGTTAGAAGGTAAAGAGCAGTATCATGTTGAAATCTCAAATAGGTTCACTGCTTTGGAAAATTTAAAGACACTGAGGTGGATGTTAATAAAACTTGGAGAACTATTAGAGAGAATATCAAAATTTCTGCCAAGGAGAGTCTAGGTTAATATGAACCAAAGAAGCATAAGCCATGGTTCGATGAAGGACACTCAGAATTATTAGACCAAAGAAAACAGGCCAAATTACAGTGGTTACAGGATCCAAGGGAAATAAATGTAGATAATCTGAACAATATAAGACATGAAACCAGCAGGCTTTTCAGGAATAAAAGGAGGTCATATCTGAAAAACAAAATTGATCAGCTTGCAATGAACAGTAAGAACAAGAACGTTAGAGACCTGTATAGAGGAATAAATGACTTTAAAAAGGGGTTACCAAACTAGAAGTAACTTAATGAAGGATGAGAATGGTCATCTGCTTGCAGATTCCCACAACATTTTGAATAGGTGGAAGAACTACTTCTCTCAGTTATTGAATGTACATAGGGTCAGTGATGTTAGGCAGATAGAAGTACATACAGCTGAGCTGTTAGTACCTTATCCTAGCCGTTTTGAGGTTGAAAGTGCTATTGCGAAATTGAAAAGGTATAAATCGCCAGGTTGTGACAAATTCCAGCAGAAATTATTAAAGCAAAATATTACATTCTATTATCCATGAGCTGATTACTTCTATTTGGCATAAGAAAAAATTGCCTGATCAGTGGAAGGAGTCTATTATTGTACAAGTTCACAAGAAGGGTGATAAAACTGACTGTGGTAATTATCGTGGGATATCACTGCTATTAACTTCATATAAAATTTCATCCAATATTCTTCTCTCAACGTTAAGTCTATACATACGAGGGTTGGAACTTTAATAGTGAAAACTATTTATTTACAACTGATACAAAATATATTCATGTTTTGAAGTTTTACTGTCCTTCAATGTAGTCACCAGCATTGTGTACAACCCGTTGCAGTGATGTGGAAGTCATAGAATACTTTTAGTAGTGCCTGTTGTGTTGATAGTTCGAATGGAGTGGTCTACTGTCTGAAGAATCTATGGAACAATTCTAAAGCGAATGCCACGAAGTTGTTCCTTCATCTTAGGAATCAAGTCAAAGTCAAAAGGGCTTAAGTCCGGGGAGTATGGTGGATGGTACAGCATTTCCTAGCCCCATCGATCAAACAAAACAGCCACAGCTTGCGCTGCATGCGGCCGAGCATTGTCCTGCAAAATGATGGGTGGGTTCTGCAGAAATTGTCGCCACTTCTTTCTCAAAGCTGGTCGCAGGTTGTGTTCCAAAAAATGAACAGTAATACTGCACATTGATGGTATGCATTAGGATAACATTACAGTCATACATGAGAATCACCATAACTTTCACATTCCTGGGGTTCTGACGAACTTTTGATTTTCGTGGTGACCCGTAATGATGCCATTCATTCGATTGGCGTTTCATTTGTGGCTCGTACAATTTGGTCCATGTCTCATCCAGCATAATGATACAGCATAAGAAAGCCTCTCCTTCGCGCTCATAGCGCTCCAAGTGGCTACGAGCAGCATCATATTGTAGCCATTTCTGCATTTCCGTCAAATCATGCAGAACCCATCCTGATGCAATTTTTCTCATGCCCAGGCATTCCTTCAGAATATGAAGCACAGTCATACGGGCTAATCCTGTCTCTCCGGCCAGCTCGTGAAATGTATGGTGTCGATAACTCTCCAGTAACACAGAAAGAGCATACACTTCTTCAGTGACACTAGAACGACCTGGCCGACGCATATCTGCCACATTTTGGCATCCCTCGTTGAAGACTTTTACCCACCTTGCCACTGTTCTGTAAGGCATTGCAGATTCCCCGCAAGCCTCTTGAAGACCTTGATGACACTGTCATGCTGTACGGCCTCTGGCACATTCAATCTTTATCCAACTCCATTGTTCCTGTTTCGAAAACATCGTGACAACACTGCATTAGACCGCCAGCTAACACGAGGCTCTGTTCTTCTTGTCACTGTGTATGCACGTGATGTAGGAAGGGAGAGTCCATTTGCTCTGAGGTAAGGTAGGTATGTAACTAACGTGTGGTATAAGCAACATTATTTGGTTCCGTTGCATGGCATCTCTACAGCAGTGTTGCCACTATTAAAGTTCCAACCCTCGTAGATGAAATTATTGGGGATCACCAGTATGGGTTTCGAGGTAACAGCTCAACTGCTGATGAGATCTTTTGCATTCATCGGATACTGGAGAAAAAATGGCAGTACAATGAGAGTACATCAGCTATTCATAGACTTCAAGAAAGCCTGTGATTCAGTTATGAAGGAAGTATTGGACAAATTCTGATGAAACTACTCAGGTTGATTAAAATGCGTTTAAACGAAACATACTCGTATGGTAAAGTCCACATGTCTGATAATTTTCGTATCCAGAATGGTTTAAAATAATGAGATGCTTTAATGCCATTGCTTTTTCAACTTTGCTTTTGAATATGCCATTAGGAAGGTCCAAGAAAATCAGGTGGGACCGAAATTAAATGGGACACATCAGCTGTTGGTCCATGCTAATGCTGTGAATCTACTGGATTATAATATAGATAACATAAAGAGAAACACACAAACTTTAATTGAAGCTAGTAAGGAGATTTGTCTAGAAGTAAACACAGAGAAAACAAAGTATATGTTAGTATCTCGTCACCCAAGTGCGGGGCAAAATCATGACATAAAGATAGGTAACAGATGTTTTGAATATGTGGCTCAGTTCAGATATTTGGGAACGACTATAACAAATCAAAACATGATTCAGGAGGAAATTAAGATGGGATTGAAATCGGGTAATGCTTGCTACCATTCAGTCCAGAGCCTTTTGTCTTCTAGTCTGCTGTCTAAAAACATAAAAATTAGAATATACAAAACTATAATTTTGCCTGTGGTTCTGTATGGGTGTGGAACTTAGTCTCTGACATTAAGGGAGGAACATAGACTGAGGGTGTTTCAGAACAGGGTGTTGAGAATATTTGGACTGAAGAGTGATGAAGTGACAGGAGGTTGGAGAAAACTGCATAATGAGGAACTTCATAACTTGTACTCTTCTCCAAGTGTAATTAGATGATCAAGTCAAGGAGGATGGGATGAGCAGGGCTTGTAGCATGAATGGGGGAGAGGAGAAATGCATATAGGATATTGGCAGGAAAGCTGGAAGGAAGGAGATCACTGGGAAGACCAAGGCATAGGTGGGTGAACAATATTAAGAGATAGGATGGGATGGATCGGATTGATCTGGCTCAGGATAGGGACCGGTGGAGGGCTCTTGTGTACATGATAATGAACCTTCGGATTCCATAAAATGCTGGGAAGTTCTTGAGTAGCTGCACAATTGGCAGCTTCTCAAGAAGGGCTCAGCTCCATGAGTGAGTGATGTTCTATGTGCCAGCCTCTAGCATGCTTCAAATTTCATATGCCTGTTGGGACTACAGTGGCAGAGCACTTCATGACATTGTGCATTCAAGAAGAGAATGAATGAGTGTATGAGGGGTGGGCCATGATAATCTGGCCCTCACACCGCAACCTTCAATGATCTATTGTGCTTCCCCTTTTGATCAAGCCTTTATTAATCTTACACTTTAAATGAAATGTAGGACTTTGCTTATGAAGCATTCAGGAATAAAAACGTGTTGCACACACACCTCAGTGATGTGATTACTACATGGGACATACAATGAGGTAGTGTGTGAAATTGTGTATATAGTGTGACATGTTAATGCACTGCCAGGCAACAGCTTGATAAACACCCCGCGATATACACAATAAAAGGGAGAATGTTATAGCTCATTGCTAGGCAACAGTCAGCGCATCAATGAAATCACTGGGTAGGAATCACGCGACTTGTGCTTTCTGTGTGGTCTGTGCTCTGCAACAGTAGAACTGTGTATTCTGCGTTGTCTGTTCTGAATGTTTGCAAGTATTCACAGCTGAGAAGCCATGAGTCAAGGACTCGAAGCCATCATGGCTAAGAGTGCAGTACAGTGCATTGTAGTTAAGAGTTAGTTGTAAGAGTGCGGCTATGAAAAGGAGACTTTATGTGTAATATCTGGTGTGTGTGATTGAGGCTTTTATAGTCCCTTTATTTTAATTGTGTTATCAGGAGAAGACTGGTATATGTAACTGAATTATAAAGTGTACAAATAGTGATAGTGCTCTAATTACATGTAGTTACTGGTGGTGTGTATAAGAATTAAATAAACTCATTCATCAGAACCCATGTTATTAGTCACTAATACACATGACAGTATGTATGAATGCTGCATGCAGAATATAAGAGATGGCCTTGATACTTTTTCAGCTTCATAGGTTATATGGCATGGAATGGGAGGATGATAGTGTATTGTGAATTTTGAAGGTTCGGTAGGTAAGAAGGAAATGGAAGTGGCAATGTCTCGTAAGGCCATGTCCCAGGATTTGCCTGGACAGACTGTGAAACCATGACGAATCTCAGAATAGTGAGTGATAAATTGTAAAGGATTTGGGAGGAAGCGGTTATAGCATATTTTGAGGAAATTCATGTGAAACCAGTCAGGTTAGGCAGCCTCCAGGCTGAGACCTGAACCTAGGATGTCCTCAATACGAAGCAGTAATGCTGACAACTCAGCATTGATCTTGAAAAATTATAGTTAGTCACTTTCAGCATATTAGAACAATAACTTTTGCAGGGCTCTCTATGATAGTTGTCCCTATTTGCAGCTCTCCTCTACTGTTCTCATTGAACATTTCCTAAATAATATAACCACATCCTAATTTTTTCACGTCTACCCTTAGGATGGAGGAAGCTGGTTACCCTGAAAGACTGCTATCAACCTACTAGACTACTGAGTATCATAAGCCAGATCGCAATATTTATTTTGAGAGCCATGAAAACCTCATATCTTATTCAACAAATCTCCATATTGTTATCATACAAAATAATCTGTTTAATTCAGAAAGTTATCTCTATTTGTGGACAGGATATTGTTGTGAAGGAAGAGATGACAATTGAGCCACATCCTGACCAGGAAATGATACGCTTAGCATCGAGTATTAGTACTGCTGACAGTGGATACCAGAATTTGAATACTGATGAGATGAGTATTGTAGTGCTTGGCTGTAATGAAGGTGTACCTGACCAAACTCAGTTCACTAGTGGTCATGAACATAATGTTTCAGAATTTCAGAGTCAAGAACTTAGGCACACTGAAAGAGGTTCTGATCACAGTGTTGAAAGTATAAGCTCTGAATTTGTGGGAACACTGATGTCAAATGAAGACACTGCTGGTGAATTTGTTGAACAGACAGGCAGTATGACACTTGGAATGATACCACAGAGTAGTGGGAAAACTGATATAATGCTGAGGAGGCCCTGGTTTGGGACAGCAAAGGAAGATGTAAATGAGATGGCGAACTCTTCAGGCTTTCATCAGCAACCCATTACTGTTGAACGAGTAGAAAGTTTAAAATGGTAAGCTTTATTTTGCAATAGATGTCTGATACCCTATTTAGAAGTGAGGGATAATCATTTCTTCAGGTTAATATGCTCTTTGTCGAATGGAAGTGTTGTAACTGAGCTAATGTTTTGTTGAAATTTCTTTTTCCCTTTGTGGGTATTAGGATGTTTTCTTGAATGTGAAGTTCAATAACCTCATAACTGCAATTGCTAGTAAATACCTGAAGTTTTTTCCTTGGCAATAGATACATGAAGCTGACCACTTAGCTCCTTCATTGTCTGATAATTCACTAATGTTTTGCTTCAGCATTTGAACAGACCTTGAGAAAGCTATGATTTTCTGCTCAACTTTGCTGAACTCAACAGAATTTGGTTTTGTTTTTATTGATTTATATGATGTGTATATATTGTAGCATGTAGGCCCATAAGTAGATAATGATTGCAAACAAAGAGGGTCACAGAGCAAGGACTCAGTATGCAACAACAGAGGAACTGTTATAAGCGGTGTTTTCTGTAGTCCATGCTGCAACTGTTGCTGTGCAGCGGTGTGGTGAACACTCGTCTGCAGCAACAATTGAACAACAATAGAGGAACTGTGTTTTCTATGTGAACTGTACTGAGAGACAAGTTTAGAGCTTAGTTCAGTTGTGGGTTGTGTGCAAGATGGTAAGGACATAATTGGATAGTGTTAAAGTCCATTACCAGGAAACGTCTAATGAATACAAAGAATACATTATGTGTGATATAGTTACAGTGGTACTTGGAGTGTGTAATTCAGTGATACTGTAATGTTTTTTTTTTTTTTTTTTTTTTTTTTTTTTTT